CACGGATATTCCGGTCAGTAAATTCGCGCTCTAAAAACTGAGTCATCTCGCCCATCAACGTATCCACGTTCGCGGATCTGGACTCCCACACAGGCGAAGCAAACGCTTAGTAACCCTGGCAGATATGTCTCTGTCACGCAGCCACTGGTGATCCTACATCGAAGATATTTCCTCCAATTCATAGCTCTCCGGTCGCCTACTAAATCAGGCAAGCAGAACAAGATGACCTCAATCATCTAGTTGAGCTATCGCTCGCAGCGCGTTTTTGTCACTCCCTTGCTTTCATACCCGGTGAATGGACCTGTGGCAGTCAGAACCACTTGGGTACATAGTTTATAGCGAAAACCTGGCTGATTGAAACGTGCGTACAAGACCTCAGTTCGGTCACTCACCTCAAACCGCCGGGGATGGACCCGGACACTCCATACTTCACTGTTGGAGTAACTGGTGGTCCTGTCCCAATGGCTCTTGATAATTTTTACCCTCAGTCTCAGAGCTGATAACGCTTTATTGGTCCGGATTCCTTTATACAGCCCTACGGTAGTTCGCTCCAATTAAAGTCGCAGATTGGAAATATTGATAGCTGGGGTGTGCTTCCTGGTGATTGATCAACGGCCATCTGACCTAACCAACAAAATCACTGCAGATCGGTGCGACATACGCTGCGTGCTTGTCGTGTCAGCATATGATGCCCCGAAGGCCTGCATTTTTGATGCTGTTGAAGATGGGTTCTATCGATATCTGTCACGACTGCTTCGGTGAGCAACAAGGACGAATATTATCATCCTGACAGATGATATGAACGCACTGGTTGCACGACTAATCTCAGAAGAAGCAATTAGGTGGTAGATTCGGAATTGACGTTCACCGTGCAGATAATTGAAGGCGACTTCTCCGATTGTGTGATGGACGTCTGTTCTTAACCGGTAAGAACTTTCGGCACAATCGTCCACACCGTCTTACATGGAGGCTACCAACTGCAGACTCGCGGACTCAGCGGAACCTATGACCGTAAGTTACAGATGAAGTCTCAATTAGAAATTTTCGTTGGTTTGGGGTACGCAACTTGTATTTGATCACACAGTCACACAGGCCCGTTTATCAGTCCGTTTTCGGATTATTCTAGCCGAATCGGAACAGGCCCGTTCATCAACTTCAACGAGTTCCAGTAATGTAAACATGTCGATCTAATCTGACTGCAAGGCTACTGGGAACGCACCGTCACGCCGATTGCAAAGATTGATTGAAGGATGAATGAAAGCGACAGAATAATTATTAATAATAATTATAATAACAATCCCTCAGCTTTAACACCCTTTCGGTGTCCAGCTGCCGTGCTACCCGAGAGAAGCACGAGGGTTGGGATACTACCAGGCTGCTCGAGCCCTGACAGGATAGGTAGAAATGTAGAGTAGGTCGAGTTCGAACCACAAACTTTTCGGTCAGTAAATTCGCGCCCTGACCACTTGATCATCTCATCTCGAGCGAAAGAAAGAAGCTATTCTGTCAGCTTTTACAGCTCCGTCCAAGCCAGCTGGTTCGATTGAATTAACACGGGATTCCTCCGAGGTCAGCAGATATTGGGATGGCCACTACGATGGCGCGCATAGATCCCCTAGATACCGGATAATCAATAGCATGAAGAATAACAGAACGCTGGTTGATCAGTAGGTTCCAGAAGACGAGGTCTTTCGCTTCAGGCAACAGCTGCGATCTGTTTCAGCTGATTCGACCCATCTGCCAAAAGACTACGGATGTTGTCAAAACAACTTCCGAAAAAGATGGGATGGTAATTAGTCGTCAAAGCTGTCATCTTGGACGATGGGCGGAACACTTTAAGATGCATTTCAGCCGGACTACTTCAATACAACTTCTGGAGGAACCCAATTAACCTGAATGGAACATAGACACCAGCCCATCGTCAACAACAGAACTCGAGCGTAAAATATCCTTCTCCAACATGGCAAGGTGCTCGGTCCGTATGGTCCGTATCCAACACATTTCGAAGTGTCGGTATCCCCAAAAGCCATTATGTACTATTGACGAGTTTAGTTTCTGAAAATTGAACTTTTAGGTTCCGCATTTTTCCGTCATGTGCACTTTTCTTAAGGGACTACACTTTCCTATATGTCAGTGCCTTTTCTGTGCTTTGCCTTTAGTTGAGGCCGTAAAAGCTCTCCTCCGAAGGTCCGGTCTTTTGTTTGTACTAGGAGTGGTTAGGCTCGCTTCATAGCTAGCGATTTGTGCGCTCGTTCTCAAGTCGCTTACCCGTTCAGATACATGACATTTTGGCGACGAGATGTTTCGGTCTACCCACAATGGATCACGCGAAAGTAGAGGCACTGCTTGAGCAACAGCTTAAACTTATCGAAATACTTATGTGACTGAGGGTTCTCGCTTGTAGTGTTACGCCCGATCAGGTGCCAGGTCAGCAGGTTGACAGATTTGCGAATAGCATAGTGGAGTTTAATTGCTACCCAGATGGCTAGCGTTGCGCTCGAGGCATGGTACCGCCGCTACGAGGACCTATTCCGAGTCAGTTCGCTGCGCACTGCTTGAGCAACAGCTTAAACTTATCGAAATACTTATGTGACTGAGGGTTCTCGCTTGTAGTGTTACGCCCGATCAGGTGCCAGGTCAGCAGGTTGACAGATTTGCGAATAGCATAGTGGAGTTTAATTGCTACCCAGATGGCTAGCGTTGCGCTCGAGGCATGGTACCGCCGCTACGAGGACCTATTCCGAGTCAGTCTCGCTGCGCAGGACGATGCGTGAAATGTCCGACTCTTGCTTCGTAAATTTGGCCCGGCAGAGCCGGACACGTACTGCAAATTGATTCTACCACAGAATCCACGTGGCAGGTCTTTTGCTGACAGCGCCGACTCTGACGCAGATTTGTGAAACAATCTTCTCTATTCAATACGCGTTGCCGCTGTTTTAAGGTGGTTATGAACAAGTCAGACGACTCTTTGCTGCGCGTTGATTTTGCCAGTCATGAATGCGAACGTTTCAAATTGAAGTCGCTAACTACTGACCAATCAAGTCCCACGTTTTCATACACAGTCTCCAGTTTTCCGAATTCGCAAACATGCGGACGCGTCTGCTCAACCATCTTGAGCAAGAACCTTCACTGACGCTCAATGCCGTTGTTGACGAGTACCAACGGTTGACCAACCTACAGCATGACACAACTGTGGTCCAATCCGGGGATCGAGGTTTTCCGCAGTTAGTACAGTTTGCCCCATCAGACCGGAAATTCCTCACTGTCATGGTTAATGACCGTCCTGTCCCACTGCTTCGGACATCACCATTATATATGTGAAGCTTTGGGTGAGATGGCTCAGTGGTTAGAGCGCAAATTTACTAACCGGAAGTTCTGTGTTTCGAACCGAGCCTCCCTTTACGAACAGCTTATCACCATGTCAAATTATATACGCGTCTATACATATATATGTATATATATATATATATATTAAAAGCCCTAGAGTGAAAAGAAAAAGGGTGGGTGAGGGGGGGACCTAGTGCTGGCCTATATCAAGCATTCTGAATTGCCTACACCTTCAGCCGCCTGATCAGACAATCCGAAACACTGATAGCACGGAATCCACTAACATCGATTAGTCGTCATTTATTGCAACGTCTCCAGCCAAGCACAGGCGGGGTCACGGGGACCCCATTCTGGAAGGCGCACAACACCAACAGCACCCAAACTCTTTGGGACCTCTATCACTTTTTCCTGTGAAGTCATGCGCTGTCTACTTCGCGGTTTCGGCTGTCCTGAAGTTCTGTGCACAAAGCGGTGTCCGTCAGGAATGTCCACTCTCTCCATTCCTGTTTAACTTCATGATCGGTGAAATCATGAGACGTCACTGTTCACCACTCCATGCATTCCCTCTTATGATCTTTAACTTGTCATACGTTCCAATAATTTACCTTAGATGTGTCGCGAGTCATGTCATCTGTTTTTTATTTTCCATTTTTACGGATAACTCTCATGTGTCATACCACATTGATGTGCAATAAAAAAACTGAAAGATGTTGCGAAGACGCAGCTTCCAAAATATGCCTACAGCAAACAGCGATGCGCGGCCCTGCGCTACCGACCGTTCTGTTAAAGATATAACCAGGGGGTATCAATGGTAAACTCTGACAGATGCCAACGCAGCTTGGTAAATTATTTTCTCCGGTTCGCTAAGGCTCCTAATCTTCCTGTCAGTGTAATCACCGCTAGCTCGCTTTATTTTGCCTGACTCTAGCCTCTGCTTCGCTTGCTGACACGACATCTATTTCGCGCATTTATGTTATGTGCAACTGACACTGACATACCCTAACCTGATGGAAGCACCATGGTGTCATATCGATGCTCAGTGTTCATTAGTTAGCGTGAGTGGTCCTACAGACAATTTTGTTGAACGCTGAAACAAGTGCTCATATGGTTTTACTGCACATGCAGCTTATTCGGCCTACCGTCCATATAGACCTTACGCAACCTTTAGGTATTCACTGCCAATACTCTGCCTGGCGTCGGTATTATCACCCAACCTAGCAAGTCCTGTAGAGTTTCCCGCCTTAAGTCCCTTCGGTTTGGTCGCCAGCTATTGGGTAATCAGAAAAACTTAGATTGAGTAGCAAAGCAGGCTTACCATCCGAATTTCAATTTCATGGTGTGTTTCATACACGGGGTTTCCTGACATGTTCCTTTTTTCCTGCAATTCTGCATTTGTATGGTATAAAGATAGAACTGACTTTTCTATCGGTAGATCATCCTATTGAAGCGCAATACTTTGCGGACCTAAGGCTGAGTCCATCTTGTCCAATTTTCGTACCTATCCTCATTCTATCTCTTCCTCAGCTTACTTTATTGGCGCATATCATATTTTTGTTAACATTTTTCATCTTCCCCGACTGTTGATCTCACTTATGTGTAAGCAAACACTCATCTGGCGTTCTTCCTGTTTTTTGTCCCCACCTTTACTAAATCCATGTCATCGTTTTCCAGATTTCGCCTTATTCAATCGGGCTTCCCTTTTAGCCACACTGTGGAGCTCAAAGGCTTTGCAATAAAAATGCGCACTCCCCGACTCATTTGAGGGTCCTCTACAATGAGTACGACCGATCGGCCTCCTAATAAAGACAATACAACTGGAGACCCCCGTATTCGAATCCCACCTTCCACTTCGCCCATACTTTCTGGGGATGTTGTGGATCACAGTTATATCCCCTCGCGAAATCTTGTTGAACCAGATGTTTCCCAGTACTCCCATTCGCCAGTTAGTTCGCTAAAAAACATCGACGGTGGCTCGAAAAGTCGCCATAAGTCGTTCAATTCAACTGTGGCCGCCAAACCCTCATTCAGTGGCGCTAATGGTTCCGATAACGCTCGGAAAACCGTGTTATTACAACCGCATGATGGAAAGAAGTTCCGGTTGCATCCGAAAAGCAGTTTGCGAAAACAGCGGTCCCCGGTGAGTAACTGACATGTGACTAATCGTCGGTATAGATGGAACTCAAACATGATTACCCGCTAGGAGTCATCCTTGTGATCAGGCTACTTATAGCTTCAACCTAAATGTAACTAGTGAAAATCACCTAGCTTGCGTTCAGAATTTCAGTAACCACCTAGAACTTTGGTCCTTTTTTTACTAATTTCGATTTCATTGAAGAATATGGAGAGACCAGCGTCGTGGTATATATTTTAGGGTACGCTGCGTGCAATAGTTCGAAAAAAGTGACTTTCCGAGTTCGGATTTAAGGACCGTGGAACAGCGACGGAAACAGCAACTCTATGGTGGCGTTGGTTACCATTATTAGTAACTCAGATGAGGTTTAAAAACCTACAGACAAGAATTGTTTTGTCTGCCAACCAGTCGTCCTCCAGATAACCGCAACTAACCTACTCTGTTTTTTTCCTCACCAGTACAATACCTGGATTTCATGCATGTTCAGCCATACATGACTTCCACCGATCATTTCATGGATTTCGATAGGACTTGTGAGTATTATTGGCCTCCCGTCCACTGACAACAGATGGTAGAATTTGCTGAGGGTACGCTTTTGGCAAGCAAATTAACAAACGAAAAACCTTGCTTTTGGTTGTTTTCCCTAGGGACATAGGGATCCTTCCACGGTGTCCTTATCTCTTCTCGGTCTTAGCGCCCCATGCTCCATGGTTGTATGACAGTCAGGCACCAGTTTCCACTACTGGCTGCTATTTCTTATCGAAGCATACACACCTGACCATAATGTCGTTCTTCCGCTGTGGTCGTATGGAAGTAAGGTTGCCGTGGCCTTCACATGACACTGTACTTTGTCCCACTTGCAGTAAAGTTTTCATGGAGGGGCGTACAACTTGGAAGAGGTGTTTGAATGTGTTTGCACATACTATCACCCTATTGGTCTAACGATTAAATGAGTCACCGTTTAGTGTTACGGAACGCGTGATGTCTATAGTTAATGGCAACGAAAACCAGAGCTTTTTTCACTGGAAGGTGGAAATCACTAAGGTGAACAGAACAGACCGTTTCGGGTTGGCTGAAAATCAGCAAAATGCAAGCCATGAAGAATAGGGTCTTCATCAGAGCCAGGGTGACAGCTATGAGCACTGCCTTGTTGATGGGCTTTTCCGTTATTATTGCAGCCCAATATATTTTCCAGGTGCATTCCAGTTGAATTGGTTAGAGGAGTTAGAGTGACGATGTTTGTCTTCGCCGATGGACCTAATAACCAAGCTAATAGCCAACAGCAGTAACTCCATAAATGGTTCTCCTAGCGAGGAGCTCAATTTACCCATAACCCTGTTAAAAGGAGCTGATATCCTCGTTAGTTAAGCGCGAAAAACACTAGTGTATATATCGTGGTAAAGTAAGTGAGCATACCACACAAAATGAAGGAAAGCAAATGTTGCGTGCCTAAGGAAACATGTTTCTTCATGTATAAACGATTCCTAGACAGGAACCCTTCTCTCTTCCCTCTGAAGGGGGAGACGACACTAATGTCATTCAAGGTTCATAAATGTCATTTTAGTGCTGTTTGATGACTTGCGTTTGGGGCCAATCGCCTTTCCGTAAAGAGAATAGATCCCGACCACATTTTTATTCGATGGGGTACGAAAGTCCTAACGTGAAAATATATTTATGGAGGAAGTCAGACAACTTATGACAGTTAGGCGGTTTACTCCTGTTATGTCGCGGCTTGCGGTCCACCCAGCGGTTTTTTCATCACTCCCATAGATATGCCACCATTTCTTCGTATCCATCACCTGTCACCTGAGTCGGTTTTCCTCTGAACCTCCAACCTCATGATTCAATGTACCTGATCGAGATGATAGCTGTGTCGCGCGAACAAGCGTTATTACTTTCCTTATTCTACTAACCTTGTCACAGCGCTCGCAGTCGCCTCCACCAACAACGTTGAGAAAACTGGCAAATGTTAGTCACTCATTGGTGTCATGGAGAAGTATATAAAAAGGGGGAAATCACCCATCCACCATTCAACCGATCCTTCCAGTCCGAGCAACATACAGGCCGGGTACGTACAGGTTCATTGCAGGCTAGACATGTAGCTGACACTTGGAGTGGATCTAATGTTCTCCCTACAGTGGAAGTGGCTGTTCACCTATACATTATGCAACCAAGTTTTGGCTGTTCCTTCATAAACGCCGCTATGGTGACTCCGTGGCTTGCGCAGCCCATAATAGCTTCATTTTTGGCTTTCGTCCGTTTTCGACTACCTCTTCCTGTCTGACGTCATCTCAGTGCAAGCAGTGCCGTAATATAAAATTCATGTCAACTGGTCACAAAAGCCCACAATCTTTTGCAGCATCATTCAAACACCACCGGAGAATTGTTGGCACAAATGCTGTCTTAGATTTAAGCAGTTCCATTACTGATGTTTCGTAATACAGGTTCACACAATTCTCTAAGATATGTCTCAAATGAAACTCAAAAAAAAGATTGGTTCCTGAAATCCTTCTCGGAAGGAAGGCTCACTGATCCGTATTGTCTTCAAAAAGTGAATCACTGGTGCTTTCGCAGTATAACGGGAATCGACTGAGTGTGGCGCGATGAACTATTACGTAGGCCAGTATGTGGAAACGAATTAGACTCAGTATAGCAACATATAAGGCTTATCGATCCAAAACAGTTCTGGCGCGAACTACCCAATTGAAGCCCTCGATTACGACAATACGGGAAACATTCCATGATATGGCTGAATGTGGAGGCGACTACAGCCAAACACACTGTTGTGAAAATTTCGTGCCTTCTTGGCTGGGAGTCACGTAATTCTCGCGGCACATGGTTGAAAATCCCACGGGGAAAACGACTAACCGTCATAATGAGCGTGGTGTCGCATATTTAGAGTTTGTGCGTTGTACGGTAGGCCTTTTTGAATCTGGTTCGCAAGAAATTCTGGGCCGAACTCACTGATGACGTCTCACCCTAGTATATTGCTAGGATGCGTTTTTACGATGCTGTTTGAAGGCGCAACCTTCTTTCTATTGAGAGGTTTCCCTAGAGGTATCAGGCTGTTTTACACTAACTCCTCACACTTCCCCTTACCACTTGTTACCATGTCACTTTTTTCGCGATTGCTGCGTGATATTTAAGCCCCAGTATGTACTACTGTTGTCTTGCTATCGATGATGGTTGTCACCACCAACATACAAGGTGCCGTCCATTAAAACCTGCAAGTGGTGCATGAATATCCTAAGATGCCCTCTTAGTCCATGCTTACGGGTATCAGAATCGGGTAGCCATAGAAGTAACAATGGGAATGAGAAATTCAGTTTGGACGTATCCTTTTCAGTGGACGCATCGCTTATCGGATAGTAAAGATAGAATTCTGAATTTTAATTTGCCTGACCATTTCAGACGCTGTTGTTTGTTGGCAAACTTCTGTCGCTTGGAAAATTGTCGCACGGTTCATGAACAGTGTCTTTTTGCCATGGTTTCCTGGAGACCATCTAGATCACGACCTTTCTACAACGCTATAATCGCATCTTGATGTTATAGTCTCTACTGATGTATCAGTCAGACTTGTCAGTTACACCACAATCGAGAAGACAAACGACTGGAAACAACTGAGCCGTTCCGTAGTATGGATTCAGAATGCAAAAGGAGCGAACAATCCAATTGGATGTCAACAAAAGACTGAAGCTGAGGAAACAGAGTTTCAGTCTACGAGATAACTTGTTAGAAAAATGGATTTGTTGGTTTGGAGACAGTCATCCCAACACTTGGAAAACAAATTCGTTGACTCCCCAGAGAGGTAGGCGCCTGCCTTTGCAGGAATAAGAGGACCTGTAGAAGCAAACGGAGAATGTTTGCGGCGTACTTTCCTGGTAAATGATCTCTCCCAGGGGTCTCCAAACGAAAGGCGAATTGAATTCCTGATTCCATTTTGCAACACAAAGTCAAAATTCACGTAGCACTCTACAACCATCTTGTTCATATTGGGAATCGTCGGAAGTCATCAATCCCTAGTTATTTTCCAGCCCAGGACCTACAGTTAGTTGTTCGAACGACAGCGTTGTTAGATTGCGCTTCGATACAATCCATACTGTGAGATCTTCGCCATCACTTAAGAAAGACATTTCTCTGGCGTTTTAACTCATCAACCTACCCACCTTGCCTAAGAGACCTTCTGTGAGGCCCGCATGATCCATCGAGCACTAGTTTTAATGGTAAAAAAGGCTGAGTGGATGACATACGGAGCCTAGTAAGATGACGTAACTCCAGGTACAGCCGAACATTCACGCAGATTGTACATGAACGCCTTCTAACAGGCGTGTCCGTAGCGTGCGGGTTATTGTTTTCATCTTTCGCGAGCATTCGGTCGAAATGTCATACACGTTCCCTCATTCGCTGTCTGAAAACAGTTTGTGCCGAACAATAACAACCCATACTTATCGGAATGTGATTCCTCCTAATCTATATAGAGCTTTCTATCGGTATATGACGAACTTACCGACTTGAACCTTGTGAAAGTTAGTTCGGCAGACCATTCATTTAGTTTTTTGAAATATTACGCAACAGCTGAATTATTCTTGTTACTGAGTCTAGAAATGCCCTTACTGTTCTGTTCAGTGGAACATTGAATCCCATTGGGGGCCTGCTTTCTCGTTTCTTATTACTCTACACTCGTGGGCTCTAGCCGGCAGAGGGGCCCGCGCTTGCCATCGAAACATATTAAATGGCTTTTGTCGGTTGTTTCAAAAAAGAAATCGGGCAGGTTATCCTTAAGGGCGAAACAGCTATCTGGTTATGACTGATTGGAACACCATGAAACTAAACAACCGTCATACGCTTGTTCACATGAAAGTCAACTAATCCATCGCTACCGGACCAACAGTAACGGAGATAGGATGAAGTGAAGTCTATTTCACCATGATTACTCCGCACATCGTCACTCGCATGTGTGCCTATCGCAGGTTAGACTCTCTCTCTCGAAAAATCACTCTCAAGCTGATTCAGGTAGGTGAAGCATGGCGAGTGCGTAAACTTCAACTATTTCCGACCGTTGTAAACTAAGCTATTACGCTACCTCATCTTAGGTCAAAAATACAACAAACGTTAGAAATCCAACCTTAGCATAAACACCTTTTCTGTTAAAATCGCTATGCGACGCAATTGTACCGAAACAGCAATGTAACTAACTTTGACAGTGCGTATCAGGTCAGCCATTTGTTTTGGGACATTTTGTCGAGTTTCTGTTTGTGTGCATTGTGGTCCGCAAGCTCGGTCGAAATTTCTCCTCAAATAATCGGATTTTTCGCATGCAGCGCAGTCAAAACTTACCGCCTTGGTAGTCCGACAAAGACCCCCCATCGGGACAAATTCGGGTTTGTCCCTTACCTTTTATGGTCCTCTTCTTCTGACTTCTGCGTGATTTCAGTAGACGTTTAAGTAGCTGCAATTGACCATACTGAGGGGATGTTACTCAGCTTTGCCATCGTAGTTTCAGAGAAGTTCAACGTCACATCACCCTGAATAATCGTCTTCGTAACCACTTGCCAGAATACGTTAAACTGTCAACCTTTCCCGTCCCTCATTCTCCTCGACCATTCCGAGCAGTTCGATTTTGAAGCCGTCGATCATTATAACCCAACCATTTGACTTCAACCAACCGACGATGTTCTCGCGCATGGTGACGAAACGCTTGCAAGCCAATTGCCAAACTCGGCGAACAGATCTACTGCCACCTGATTGACAGCCACTGAAAATGAAACATTTGTGACTTCTGTTGCGGGCACTAAGACTTGTTCTTTTTCTTCACCCTCCATCCCTTATGCAGGACTTGTACAGAGAACTTGCCGAATGTCGCGAGTCGAAAAACAATGTACTTGATCTGTCCCATTGCGAACTACAACAACTACCCAATGGCATTTTTGACGATCTACCCGGTTTGACCGAACTCTACCTGTATACCAATAAGCTGACCAGCTTGCCCGCAAGCATAGGCCAACTGGCTCACCTTCGTCGTTTGTCCATCCAGCAGAACATGTTGGCCAGATTACCCAAAGAAATGGCAAAGCTGACCGGCTTAGAGGTGTTGGATCTCCGACACAATCGGCTTGAAGGCAATCTTCCTGAATGCCTACCAAGTTTGAAACAGCTGAAAAGCCTCTTTCTGAAGTTCAACAAGTTGTCCAACATCTCTGGCATTGAGAATCTTAAGGTAAGTATCCCAAACCGGTCCTTCTTCCACATAATCAGGTTACATGGAATTTCGCGCATCTCAATGTGCAAACTACATTTATCGTTCGGTTTGCTTTGGTTTTGTTTTATTGTTGAGGTCGAGTCATCGTGACAAAAGTGTTCTTAATGCTCTCCATTGCTGTCGTCATTTACCGTGAACCAAATAGCCATAGTGTAATATCAGTCGAAAATTGTCCGTTTAGGTGATCTGAAAGCCAATAGGCATCAGTTTTCCTACAGTCACAGCAAATTTTGACTATGTTGTGATGTTTTTTTAACACAAAACGTGACAACAATCTTCTTTGTCGCACCATTCGTTCTTCCTGTAGACCCTTATGAAACCCAACAGGGTGTATATTTTCCAATGATTTAGTTTCCACTACTGCACCATTCGTATTTCTTAATCGGGCGAACGCCTTGTTTATCTCTAGGGCAACTTAGTCTGCTATTGACGTTGATCTCCACAAGGTGCACCGAATAGCCTACATCAGTTGTAAGGGTATCCGTTCTGCTGACTCCTTGCTCCACAGCTTTCATTTGGCTCGTTTAGTGTGGTGGCTCTGATTTCAGCACAACTATTGAGATGACGTGGTGATTAGAGCGCGAATTTACTAACCGGAATGTCCGTGGTTCAAACCCACCTCTGCATTTCCACTTCTCCTGTCTAGGCTTGGGCAATCTGGCTGCTAGACACCAAAGTGATGTTACAGCTGAATGATTATTTTTTTAAAAAACGGTTCTTGGAACATCTATAACATTAGAACCAGAGGCATGCAACTTGAATTCTGCTGGCATGTAGTTGAAAGGTAAAGAAGTTCATTACTGAACGTTTTACTTTTTTGGGGGTGGGGTTTTTGAAGTGTTCGTGTGGATAGCCGAGATCAATTTCAACCCGCATTTCGGTCAACCTTGAGTTGACCGATGCTTATCTCAAGTGCATACATGTTCTGATTCCATGTCGACTTAACTCTTTTCCACTTAACTCTTTTCCCTAAGGATTTTTAGCTTGCGCCGTAAAACTCGAAAAGCCGAGCCTATCTAACGACTCTCAACTTGACATCGGATCATTATTAGATTTTTATCAAGACAGTTTAGGACTTCTGATGTATCAGCTCAAACATTTTATCTATAAATTTTTCTTAAATACCCATACATCTTGATATCAAAAAGCTATCAGAAGTCATCCCTGAAGTTCACACAGACGATAATGTAGTCCCTACCGGAGCCACTCCGATATGAAGTTAATTTCAAACAGTGAGACGTAATTCACTAGTGAAGACGAAACTTTGAGCATAGTGCGAAACCTGAATCCAGAATAAATCCAAGCTTTACCTGGTAGAAAAGCATAAGGAAATCCAATTCAAATCTAATGTTATCTGCGTAGATATCACTGCGGCACACGTATAGGTAAAGTTGGACAGTAACACTTGGAAGATGCCTGTGTTACCACGGGCAGTTTTAAGACATCTTCTAAGTTTGCACATCGGTTTTATTCCTTCTTCTTTCTTCCTATTGAACTGACAAGTCCCACAAAATAAACTTTGGAGTATCATCCGGATTGACATGAGCAACCTGATCATGTGGCTGATAGAATCATAGATCTAGACTCCCAGAGGGACTAGCTGGAGTTGGTCACCATCTCATCTTAGACATAACCTCATCTCATCGTGACCGTCATTCGGCTATCAGTGTTTGCCAGCAGCGCTGACCTACTGTGCAAGTTCATTTTATTTTAACATTGTGTTGCTATGAACAGAACAAAACAAGGGAGAATGGGGGCCTATTTCTAGTCTACCGTAGACGTTCCGGGTTACCTTCGTCTTTAAAATCAGTCCTGACAACAAATGTCGCTCGTTTGTTGCACTTCAGTACAAAAAATAACACTTTTCTCTAGAATTTATTCAAACATATTCAATTGGAATTAGTTGCTCCCATGATCCTTTTCCAGGATCGATAAGTTTTACTTCATGGTTATCACTTGGAAAAACCCCGAGGCTACAGCTTGCCAATCAGGGTCTTCAAAAGCTAATAGCAACTATCTGACTGTTCACTGAGGGTCATATCCCCACAGATTCCGCCGCACGGTCTAGACCAAGAAAACTGTCAAAATATTCAGGCTTTTCTCCTCTTCTTTTCCACGAGGTCGTTTCCTCTTTTGTGCCTCATTTTTTGTGCTGGTTACCCCAAGCAGAATGATGGCGCAGCTGAGACTAATAATCAGAAACCTGGGGATTACAGCGATCATTTTTTTATGACCAGTCAGTAGTTATAGGTCACACATTTTTCTTCCGTTTCTCTTCCAGTTTGATAATTAATCTAGTTCGTTTCCTGTTCATTTCCGTACAGCATCTTACCTGCCTCGTCCTCGGACAGAACAGTCTGAAGAATGACCTGCCCGACGTCATCGGTCAATTGACTTGCCTAACCACTTTGGACCTGTCCAATAATCAAATCACCTCGTTACCTGAGAGTAAGCATCAATTCCTGAGGAGTTCCGACTAAACTATTGCCTTTATCGTGACGTTTCCGCGACATCTCGTCTCGTCGCACTTTTTGCAGGGCTTGTCGTAGGCGGGGAAACAGAGCAATTGCCTTCCGTACTCCACACTTGTCTAGTCTCCGTTACACTCACAGGTAGGACCACTGTACAACCGGTACAGGGTCATTGGGTCGGAACTCGTTTATTTACAGTTGTCAACAGCCAATGACCTAGAGAGCAGCTGGGCAGAAAACTATCAAGGAACAGAAGAGTTGCTGACTGTATCGGTGCATAGTTATGTTGTTGTCAACATTCAGCCGTCCTACTGCTGTTCTCAGTTCTCTCAGTTGTTCTCTCTCTCTCTCTCTCTCTCTCTCTCTCTGTGGCTCTCTCAGTTCTGTTGATCTAGTTGTCTTATTTCTGTGGAACTGGCATTCACTACAAGTCCAAGAGTATGTTTCTTCCTTGTGCTTGGCAATGTTTCCATTTCGGCTAGCGGTATGGACTTCGTTCTGCGTTTAAGCTTCTGTACGTGACCAGTCCCAAAACTGTGGCCACATGAATCATTCCTGTTCGCCCGTTCGATAGGCCGGCCCTATCGTACCGAGTTGGACTTCACTGAACTATCTCCTGAACCTCAGAATTTTCTCAGTATCTGCAGCATTCAATTGACGTCCTTAGAGAGGATGATATGGGTCGCGTGGGGCTTCGTCGGAGGAACCTGTCAATGCCAGACCACTTGTGAAATGTCTGAAGGATGGTGGCACCATGTCCTGTTCGCGTCCGAGTTAGTAACAATACTGATCAGCCACCCCTAACTGGATGGTATAGCAGTAAAAAACGAACCACGAGATCGCTGTTCCGAACCTCCTCAGAGACTCGCGAGATATGCACCACAATGTTTCCGAGCGAGGTCGAAACGGTTGTACATTGCCTCGGCTGTTTGGCATAAGTTGGCTTCACTCACAGCATAAAATCCACATCTGACACTTCAAATCACATCACTCACAGTCAATAGGTGTAGTTTTATACCACAGACTGCCAGTCATTCTCGCACTATTTTTCTATCTTACCATTCTTGACCTATGAAAGGAGTGAATTTACCACCAGACTTGCTTCGGCATCGACTATCGCTCAGTTGCCTTCTCCAGGTTTTGATCAAACCATCCGAAAGCTTTTTCTCGCATGTTGTTAGCACGCGGCACATTCGTGGGTTCTGGTTCCGGATTTTTTCTTTGTTTTTTATTCATGGTTCAAACGGCAGTCAAGCACCAGTGTTCACATCTGGTGTTGCTGTCAATGTTGATGCTTGTTTTTGTCATTCGTACGCCCAAATTTCATTTTACGATCTCCACCTCGGGCGATTCTACCACTACCCTGTGCTCGTTGTTCTCCAATCAAGGTCAGGTTCATTTCCGGATGCAATTCTATTTTGTTCATTGTTGAAGACTTCGTTTTGACCTCTTGCAGATATCGGGAACTGTACAGCGCTCAAAAGTCTTAATCTCCAACACAATCAACTTCAGCGACTTCCGAATTCTATCGGGAGCCTGAGGAACTTGTCCAAGTTATCTATAAAGTGAGTTTAACCATTGCTTTGATTCTTTTTTTATAACGGAGCTTTGTAGTCTGCCCAGACCAAGGTGAATCAATTTGTTGCTGTTGTGGTTGAACTGTTCTTCTTCAGTAGTATATTACACGTTCCGGCGACAATGTTGCCACCATGTTTTGATCGGATAATGTTTGTCGTAGTTCTCGTGCTCAAACGTTCAAATTTAACACCCAACTCATTAACCAAATTACCTAGTCAGCGATAAAAGTTCCCAATTGGCGAGTCATTGCAGGAGAAACGATAAGTGCTATGACATATTCATCTTTTTACGGCAAACTTTGTGGGACTGCGCACAAATGCCCTCATTGGCACGGTATCTAGTTTCAGACCCCTCCATCGGCTTCGTGAACTTGAGAACGCCGGGTGAACACTTTGACCACGCCGTGGCTCTAAATTCACAAGGGTCAACAACAGAAAGTCTGCAGCGACCTACGGAACGAATTGAATTCAAAATTGTTTGGTACACTACCGAAGAACCGTACATGTAAATCGAACGTACGGAACACTTCGCAACTTATTCTCTGACTGAATTCAAGCAGCTATAAGCGAAAGTAAACGATGACGAACAGTTTCGACTACTCTCATAACCTCATCATTCGGTCTGACGGAGCTTTCATGTCGAAGAAATGTTATGCAGCCGTAATCCGGAGGGATGACGGAAAACGTTCGTTCAAGAAATAATCACCAGTTATAATTGCGCTTCGTACCACTAGTTCCTCTCTTTTTTGGTGAATTCGGTGCTCATCATTGTTGGATTACACATCGGACGGAACGATTTCCCTTGTGCGTGGAAAGAATGCGCACTCTAACTCAACCCCGAACTGTGCCGCTTTCCTTGGGTTATTGTACTGTTCTTGGGCTGCAGAGTTTTATGTGTTTTAAATATTAGAAATGCGGTGTACTCGATGAAGATCTACGCTCATCGGTGCATCTTTCCTAGGAAGTGAGTTGACTGACTGCTCGGTCGAAACAGTCTAAGAATGGCACATGTCATTGTCGCCAGAACTGCAAGCAGTAGATAATAAAGGAGGCAGAACGTGAGAATCATTAGCAACGAAAGTGAGCAGGCTGTCGATCCATCTGTATGCTGTTAAAAAACGAACAAGAGAAGGGTGTCCTGGAAGGCTAAAATAATCTGATGCGAGCCAATATGAGTTTATCGCATTCAAAACTGCCTCTATCCTTTTTGCTGTGTAGGCTTCAGGTAAGTACGATATCCTACTTGATCTGTTTCCTGTTTGAAGCATGGGATGATGTGGGAAGTGACTCGGGCTAAATCCGATGCACATTCAGAAGTTCGGAGATGACCGCTTCGCCTACAATGGTGAATAACAAAGTGTTATCCGGTGACGCGGTCCAAATGATCTCACCTTTAACTGCCGACACTACATAAGGGATGGTGGAATTTCTGTTGCCAATGTCATTGTGACAATCATGGAAAGTTGAAGAGCAATTTATGCGTAAAGAAATAATTTTGTGATATTTAAGTGTTCCTCTCTGAGGGGATGACCAACTTGGGGGACTGACCAAAGTTGATCTTCTCCAAGAAATTAAGTGTGCTTCAGAAGGATGTCCGCCCCCATCCCCCAGGAGAGAATAACCGTATCGAACTGAAAATAGATAAAAACTTCGTACTTTTATAGCCTGGGGCATATGTTGCTAAAAGTGAAGATAGAAGCGAAAGACGATTTCACTAATTTTCCTTTGGTATGAACTAACAGCACTTTTTGTCAGGACGTGGAAAGGTGCTACCAGAACCAATGGTTTCCAATTGTTTTTGGACGACCAGGAAGCATATTGAAATCGATCGATTCTCGTGACCGACTTTTTGTTGTTTTGTCGCTGTACTTTTCGCCTGCGTATGTTGTCATCAAACGAATTGGGTGACATCGGTATGCTTTTATTTGGATAGCGCGCGCTCTATTGTATATGATCAGTGAGTTTACGGTGTATGCCGTTCACTTATGTGTAGGCGGGAAATAGTCGATAATCAATGAAGTCAGATCGCCCCCGCGCTCAGACTTGCCTACAGTGGTTTTCTATGCCTGAAAGTGGTTTCCCCTACGTGATGGAGACCTTACGCACAAAGTATTAAGTGTCAGTGTAGTGTTAACAAGTGGCCTTCATTAAGCTGCTGTTCAACAGACATTGTCGTCCTGTAGTGATTCGATAAAAGAGGATGGCCACCGAACCTGGAGACCTAGAATGGTGAATCAATTAGGGATTCTGTTTGTTACGTTGACGTTTTTCTGAACTACACTGTGATCCATCTCCTAGTTAACCTGGCTTACAGTTGTTCGCCCTATGTGCGAACGATCTTGAGAGATAGAAGCTCGTTCGCCCTGAGAGGAATGTCTTCACCAAGGGGACAAAATCACCTACTTTCTAAATTTGGAAACCTGCTTTTTCATCAAAGTAGTTGTTTACAACAGATTGTTTGTGTTTCCGTTCTTAGCTGAAAGCATTCTTACTTTCCCATTTGTGGAAGCCTGTTCCTGTTTGGCTGCAACACCGTCCCCTAAGTTCTTATTCAACCGGAGAGGTGGTGTGATGCCTCTATAAGCCAATGCTAGTCGGTGGGTGACCATCAGTTGTACCTGGGCTGGATCTGCCTTTTGCACTCTTGAAGATAAATAGCCCCCACTGCTTGAAACTCAACTGCGAGGTTTTCTCAGCTGACTACTCAAATTAATAGTTTAGCACATCCTATCAATACATCAGCCAACTGGTCATTTTTTATTGGTTGCCTGACCATCGTGGGGGCCTAAACTATCAATGGGCCAGATCAACTTGAGTCGAAAAGAATATAACAACAACGCGAACACCAGTTGCTTTTCCGTGTTTCCCACAGTGGCCGAAACGATTGAGCTTCTTCAGTCTACCGCGTTGTTGGATACTAAGATAGAAAACCGGGACATTAAGTATAAAACCGAGATTTGACCGTTAGTTTCCCAGGAGTATACCTGGTAGGGAGTGGCGTTGAAGATAACTGGTGGTATTTGTCGTGTACGTGCAGAGCGGAAAGAGTAATGAATGGGACAGAATGAAATGAACCTGAATTTGGATTTGGGCCTCAGTTATTGGTGTTGAACAGTCGCTGGGTACGTAGAACAACATGCGCCTTACGCTTACCCTGAAACAATGAGTGACTATGTCCATTTCCCGAGTTGGGAACGGGTTCGTTGCCCAAGTTCGACTCTCCCTTGCAGCTGATAGCTTCTGCTTGTCTCTAGTGGTTTTTGTTGTCCCAGGTGGTAATTCCAGCAAGCTCTGAAAATTTGCCCAAGATTGTGAATAAAAAAACGGCTCTTCTTTTGTCAAGGCTTGTGCTTGGGGAAAACTGAGCCTGAGAAATCGTCTTATCCGCGGGGTTTTTTGCTTCTTAGAAGGGCTACAACTGCTGTTGTTCGAAGCTTAGCAACCTTACTAATTACTGCATTGCATTTATCCATCCATCCTAACAAGTCAGCCCCGTAGCACGTGGTGCGGTTACTCTCTGGTGTTTTTGTTGTCCCAGGTGGTAATTCCAGCAAGCTCTGAAAATTTGCCCAAGATTGTGAATAAAAAAACGGCTCTTCTTTTGTCAAGGCTTGTGCTTGGGGAAAACTGAGCCTGAGAAATCGTCTAATCCGCGGGGGGTTTTGCCTCTTAGAAGGGCTACAACTACTGTTGTTCGAAGCTTAGCAACCTTACTAATTACTGCATTGCATTTATCCATCTTAACAAGTCAGCCCCGTAGCACGTGGTGCGGTTTACTCTCTGGTGATGTGTCAGTACTTAATGCTCATTTTGTTTGCTCTGGCATCAATAAACCGGCTTCTTTCCACTTGACCGTTTTACTATTATTCCCCTCCGCAGGTACAATCAATTGGTGGAAATACCACAAAGTCTGGCCAACTGCGTATTACTGGATGAGTTTAACGTTGAGAGCAATCAGCTGTCATCACTTCCCGTATGTTTTGTTCATATCGAGCTTGTTGTTTGTGAATGTACTTTGATAGTCTCCATTTGTGTTGGTAATGTCGGGATCCTCGAGTTGAATGTAGTCCAGTGAGGTGTTTTTCGCTCGCATCGAACAGTTATTTGATTCGCCTTCACGTCTTTTTGGTTGGTTCACATTAGAGTTGATACGCTGAATTCAGGACTTTTTCTCGTACTGTCCGAGGTTATGACCTAGATTTTCCTTTGCCACTGCAGTGTTTACTAATGACGAGACTCGTGGACCGCTGTCACCAAGTTTTATCTTGAAAAGCTTTTCTCGCCTGCTCTTACCAGAGTCGTTTGAAATTTCCGCGCTCTGAAACAGATTAGTTCTGATGTGCTTAATTCTGTCTCTATTTCTCTAAAGATCGGAGTAATAATAACCTCTTCAGTTGGATCTAAGATGCCTCCATCTTGGTCAGAAATTATGAGTCCGTTCCCCGATAAATATAATAGTAAATAACAAGGACGAGTGTCTACCCTGATTTCGGATATTTCTCTCAGCACTGAACTATCATTGATAAATTGGTCTTGTTCCCACTTGAACTTCATCTTCTGCTGAGCTGTTCCCACATCTGTACACTTTTATCCCGTGGGTTCTGGTTCACAAGATTATGGTGACCTTATTTTGGGAACAGTACATCAAACGATTGATTGTTCTCATTACTTAGGCCTAAAACGTTTGCGTGACTCCAGTTCGTGCATATGCAGTCCCGTGGTCGTATGGATTCGCTCATTTCTTGCTTGTTCGTCTCCTGACTTGCAGATGAATGACGTTCCGTCCTGTAGATTTTCTGTCCTTGTATGGCCCAATAACTCCAGTCATTTCGGCTCGGCTAGGAGCTCACCATATGCTGGCGACACGAAACTATCCTGAATCGATACCAACCAATCAGATACACGATTGTGAAGCCCATCTTATCATTTTTTCATCATGGTATCTAGTATCCATTCTCTGCGATCCGGTTTTTGCAATTGTGCGGTCCAAATCGGATGTGGCACCCCATTCTATCATTCATTTTACGTTACACCACAACTATGCAGCAGTGATACTCTATATTTTCTAAGATGTACGACTTCTTTCGGGGATTTTGTTTGTAAGGTCCTGTGAAGAGTCCCAATTCACTTTGAAACGTCTCCTTGGGACTGCTTCATGCCGGATGTCGAAGAAGAGCTTGAACCTTAGACACGCGAGCGTTTGCTGTAATCGACACTTGTTAAAAATCCGTATTGGGACAGTGAGCCCCGTTAATTTCACCAACCGCTTTCCAACTTCCTATCGTCGTCCCATGCCATATCGCCCAAGAGTGTGGCGCGCGGCCTCATCTGGTGCATTCATACATGCGTTTGTCACCAGCAATTAGAAGTACATCACGACCATGTGGTTCGATCAACTGTCGGTTGAGTTTAATCGAAGAGTTCGTCTTTAGTAGTCGCACCTAATGAGAAAGTGTAATAGAATGCGGTGGCGGTGAAGTTCAACGGTCCATTGTGATTTCGGAGCTTAGTGGGATGAGAACGCCATGAACTGCAAATTCCGCTCTATGAAGATCCAATTTGGGCACTCTGCTACAACCAACAGATTCCCACACTTGAAACGTTGACTCTGCGCCTTCTTAACTCCTGCACCAGTTTTGGTTGATACTCTAATCTCCAACATCTAGAGGAGTCCGGACATTCTAGCAGCCAATATAAGATGGGTCCCCGATTTTGAGATAGCCGTCTTCCATCTTGGCTGCCTGTAACCATTGGCAAACTTGCCTAAGGCTCTATAGCATAAACAGAGTTGTTTACCTGGGATATGTCATTAAGTACGTTGGAGGTTTCTGTTCGAACACCGTCCCCAGTGGCATTTGACTTTTGCTCGAGGGAGGATCGCTATTCTTCATCTACGCCAAATGGCGTGAAATGCACCAGGAACCATCAGACAGCCGTGCCGTCATCGCCTGTATAGTTCGAAGGCATTCTCATCCGGCCGATCCACCGGAGACGGTTCATGTTGCCACCTCCGTCAGTAAATAAATTTCGGCTCTTCGTCTAAGCCCAGCTAGCTAAATTTCTGTTCAGGTCGTCAATTGGGTTTGGACGGTGGCGGATTCAAACTTCGCAAACCATTAGTTTGTGCACATTGTCGTTGCCATTCTAAGGGGAGTAGTATTCAGAGAGTCTACCAGCCGTCAGTAAATCAGGTCAAAAATTCAGTTTACTAGTTAGATTGTGGTGGGTCTCTCAAATAAATTAACACAGGATCAATGTTCTTAGGTTGGGTCTGGGAAGCCAGATATTCTGAAATTACTATAAAGGATAGCAACTATTTATGCACGTAGCAACTGGTCACCAGGTAACACTGCTAACCACCCGTTCTGGCGTGATTTTTTTCAGGCACTCGATCTAAAAGGCTTCGGCAAACTTCGGTGTATCGCTGTTCCTGAGACATGAAACGCGTGCAGCTTCTACAAGACCACTAAAGAGGTTTTCCATTTTCAATGTGACATTAGGCACTCTAATTAAAGTGATTTATCCCACCAGATGAATAGGATTCATCAAAACTGCAGTCTTAGGAGCAGTAGGCTATTCTGCAACTTGACTAGGCCATTCATGAGGGAATCGTGTACATAGCTGTCCTTATATGTAACCACGTGTTTTTGTTCGTAAGAGAGAGATAGTTTAATGTTGCGAATTATGGAGTATCACTTTCGTTGCCTATCAGTCGTTTCCTCTCTGTTTTGAAGGGATCATCCATAGATAACCTCTTCACACCTGCTGAGTCTCATCTGTCCTATTTTTTCAGGATGAACTTCTTTTGAGCCTTCCGGGTCTCGTGAATATCACACTTTCACGAAATCATTTCACCGATTTCCCCACAGGCGGCCCCGGTCAATTTAAAAATTGCATCGTGAGTCTCTCTGTCCCTTCAAACAGGACCATTTCTTATGTTCCTCCTTGGTTCTTCGTTTATCTCAGTCTCCAACATAATTTTAGATGTCACGGTAGCTAACACTCTAGTCACTAGAAGAGTGTTATATCAAATATGGATTTTATTTAAAATCGATCTTTTAACGATTCCTAGGACGTCAAGTAGTTTTGGCCCCTTGCAACACCATCAGTTTGTTTAGGGTTTACCTGTCAAACCGAAATATAAATCGATCCTTTGAGTTATTCGACATGGAGGCCACATTAGTATTCTCTCCACATATATCACAGGATGAGAACCTAGGTACTTGCGTTAAAAAGGGCTCTGCATTAGGATGAAATACTTAGGCAATAAGGTGATTAACATTTCCGAACGGGGTCCAACAAATAGGCGGTGTTAATCATGTACAGTGTTGGTCTTAAAGAGTGCTCTCGCTGTGAGGCTTGGATAAACCTTTTATTTTGATAGCAAATGTCCCAACAAAAAGGAATACGAAGATGGAGAATTGCAGGCTCAAGGTTGATATTATTCCGGAGGTAACTCAGACGGCTTGAAAGCTATGAAATACCTAGCTGTATAGACAGCCTTCCCGAAATTGTCTCAGATACATTCCTGTCGCTTCTACACTCAACATAAACTCACCAGACTTGGCTCTGATCATATATCTGTCAGATTTCAAGCTTAGGCCTTATGAGCTCCCATACAATCCCTTCCGCCTCCGCAAACCAACCGACAGCAGTGATAGCAACATTAGTGGCAGCAACCACTGCCCACTATACGGCACCCAACCACGTTCCACATCCCTTGTGACACGTTCAATCAGCTACAGACGTCGCATCCTACACCATAACACAACGTAGCTACCAGACCAGAGCTCCGAAACACAACATCGCCCCCAGGTTTCGTGTGAGTTCCGAACCGTCCCGTATGCCCTGCAACAGGCTTTCTCCAGCCATGAGTGTTGCATCTCACAGCATAACCGCTAGGCCAGCCATTACAGCCTACCACATACCCCTCAAGCTCACTGTACTCCAAACTACTCTGTGCCTACAAACGGGCCTTTAGAGATGCTATTTTGAATTGGAAGTATTGGGGTGGAAGACCTGTCAGGGCTTGTTCGAGTTGCTTGTATTGTTGTTTATATAGAAATAGACTGCCTTTCTACGATATCTGTGGTCTGAATGTGACAGCTTGTTCGTCAAAGTCAAACTGAGAAAGCGGTAAAACATGCAGGCGAGCCACATGCAAACGCTCCCAGCATTTGACGGTCGATGGTTGCAAAACACTGCTCTAGTTTCGTCGGACAATCAGACCACTAATGATGCGTTAAACTAAAAGAGTTTTGAGGAAAACAACTCGAACATGATGAATGAATCGATGAGGCCTCATAGCGACTGGCCTGGTCACGTTTTTCTGGCATTTTTCATCCATGCGCCACGTAGAGATGATCTTGGAGGAATCGGTAGATTGATGTTGCAGTGACACACGAAAACAGCGGACAAACCTGGCCGCCTTGGCAAGTGCCTTCTTTGCGAATGGGGGCTCCCAAGATGAGGTATATCAGAGATCAGACACTGACGAGCCTGAACTACTGATACAGTCAACGGGTTTCGTGCAACCGACGTGTCGAATTCACTTCACAGTTGCCCTCTCACAATCTCTGAACCAACAAGGAAACGTTCGTCACCACTGTGTGCTCATCGCTTGACTTACGACTCAGCGACACCAGCTTTCGTCTCCGGTGCATAGGTTTTCGGTGAAATTTCTAGCGTTATCGGTGAATGAACCTTTGGCATCTGGAACCGATTTGCACGGTTTACAACTGGTAATGCTTATCCATCGAACGTCTAAAGCCATTGCACTTTGTGTGTGTGAGGGAGGGGTTACGTCTAACCTTGTAAGGAATAACCAATGTGGCGGTCAGGGAGGCCAGTTAGAGATTCACCTTTAGTTCTTAGATCATCATGAATAAGGGGATTTCTTGGAGAAACCTAACAGAGGGTGCATCTTTCATTGAAAGCCTTTAGTTGTATGGTGTTTTTTGCCTACTTGTCTCTCATCTTCGGTCACCTTCACTCGCCGTAAATCTCGAAGTTGTTTGGCTTGATCTCCACACTTTGCATTGCTATTTATGTAGGACTCATATATAGAGCAGGTGATCTTGTACAGGAATGGCAAACACCACGTGAGTATGCTCACCTGTGCTTCTACCAGCACTGGTATTTCACTGACAGTCGCGTAAAAATAGCCGATTATTCACCTCGGTATCAGCAGTCGTCTACTCTGTCGGTGTTCGATAACATTTTCACAGTCGCTTTCAAACTGTTTTGTCCAGAACTTATGACTGATCTCAGGGATGGTCCGCCCTATTACAGCTCAGTACCATCATCACTCAACGGCATGCCATATTCGCATGTTTTATCCTAATGTTTGTGGCTTCTCTGTCATAAGTATCAGTATCCTCCTGTATTTCGATCGGATATTTTTCAGATAGGCGATTACAGGGAAAGGGACCCCATCTAGGTAGTGCTCTGTTTTGTGTGGGCTGTAACTGACCATTCGTGGACACTCTTGACGTTGGCATAGATTCCCGTTTTAATTTCACTGCCTTCACTGGTTGAGGGTAGCGGTAATCACAGAATAACCTGTACTGCACACCGACACTCCCACTTTGTCTGGATCCCAACCCGGAAGAAGGGGTTCTCACTGTATTTGGGCTGTGTGAATTTGGTCACGTTTTTTTATTGTACTGGCTTAACTTGTATTCACAGGCCTCTGCGCTGCTGATAAGTTTCGTAATCGCCCGACTGGAAGTAGTCACCCTAGGTGTGAGTGCACTAAATTATACATCACGCTGTCGAAAATGATAAGCTCATATAGGTGGTAAGTTCACCACATCTCTGAGTAGCTACCTTCTTCAGCTGACAGTGGCCCTTCTAACTTGTCCGCCGTGGGAAGCGTGGATTATCCCAAATGGTAGCAGGAAGGATGTGTAGTGCTTTCCGGCTTTCCGGCACAAATTGATCTATGTTTGTCTCTACAGCGGTGCTTACAATATATAGGTAGTATATCTGGAAAAAGGATGAGCCGCTTCAGGAATCATTTTTTTCCTACATTCCTACATTCGAGTCAACACCAAGTCGTCTTAAATACGAGTTGTCGAAACGCTGCAACATCAATCCGAGGCATTTGGATGGCCGAAAAATGCTGTGGAAAATGTGAGCACGTCTGGTTGAGTGTACTGATGCAATCGGCATTCAAACTGTGGCAGCATATCAAAACCTTGTCGAAAAGCCTCGGGACTACCGTCTGTCATGCACACGGCAGCTTTGACGAACCCATGCGTTTTATACCAGCAGCAGTAGTGGAAGCAATTCAGGCATGTGAAATGGATCCACCGAATAGCATTTTTCGGTTGACTTTTCTTTTCGTCCAGTTGTCGTGGGATAACCTGAGTTTGTCGCTTGTCGCTGAGCCCAAAAACCTATGTCGTCAAACTTTCCGTGACACTTGCTCAAATGCTTTAGTTTGTGATATCATATGTGGTGCAGATGTCCTAAATTGTTCGGTCAACCGTAAGTTTCAGCAAACTACTTTCGCTCTGTCATTTTCTGGGTTCCCGTTATGTTGGGCTGTACTAGTCCATTTCTCGCAGGACTAAACAGTCGAAACAAACTGACAGAGCTGGATATTTAGAACAGAGTATTAACATGGAAAGTTCAGTAACGTGCTTGTGTATCGTTCGGAATTTCAGGCTCAGCTTTTTCTTTCGACACTCTCCTCTAAACGTTCTTTATCTACAGCTCCGAAAGGTATGCAATAGGCCTCCGAGGGGAGAAAATCCTAAGGAAAGTAACTTTTTGACCGCCGTTTGGGATTAATCTCTTTTGTTGTATTCCATTCCAAACTATGGCTGATAGTGTACGGTCTTTTGGTCTCTCTTGACCTTTCTTCGTGGATTAATTGGTATACAAAGAGCAATGTGTGTTTAGAAAGCTACGGTTTACTGATGCTAAATAGTTACACTGCAAGCTCTCCCGGGTCATCCCTCAAAACATCAAAGAGAACTGTCTGAAATAGGACTATCCTGATAACCCTTAGTACAGTCCAATTCTTAAGATTTACTCATCTAACCAAGGCTTTCTTTCACATTTGCACCACTTTACAATGACTTTCGCTGTTGCATTGTTGAGGTGTACTGGATAAAGTCAAGGTGCAGCCATAGGAATACAACCCCCCAAGTAGATTGGTCGGTTGGCTGCAAAAAGTACGTAACGAATAGTGTGACCCAGCTGATTAGCAAGGAGTCGGAAGTCTACCTTCTTCCTCCATTCTGTAGTTCCTTTGCTTAATGCTTTTCTTCTCTGCTTTCCCTCCATCTGCACTAGTCCTTAAATGTCGACTACAATCAAATCACAACCATTCCACAGTCCATCTTTTCCGAAGCCACTCGCTTGAACCGGTTGAACTTGTGTGACAACAACATCACTTGTCTCGTGCCGAGTGGTAAGTGATTTCTTACGCATTTCGTGTTTCATCACTTTGTTGTCCAAATCTATTGTTGTGTTTTGAGAAGGTGCAGCGCTGTTCCTGATCGATCAATCGGCCAACGAACCAGTCCATGGTTCGAGCGAGCGGGTGGGTGGACAACGCCTACAACGGCATACTTTGGTCACGCGTCGCAGTCGCGTGACCAATTGGTTTCTGGGTCGCCAACACACACTCCACCCACCCACTTGTTCCAGTCTGCCCGATTTTGTGTACTCGTTATTAGGCTATACTTCTGGTCGGTTGCACAGGCAGAAAGTTTGTCGCTTGAACTGCACGATATGCTGGTCGCCAGCATAGTTGTGCGTGACAGTTATTTTGGTCAAGTGGCACGAACTGGTGTTCCGTTGTCAGTACAACATCAGACATTCGTGGATAATGGAACTGTGCTTCCGTGTCTGTGTGTAAGCGCCTACCTCCATGTTCCAACCATGTAGGTAAGTGGTTGCGTGTCTAGTGAGTACAAATGTAAACGGACCGTGAAGAAGCAGAATGGTAACCAGGCCTCTTACTCTGGTTAACCAGAGTTGACATTGAACGTGAAAGATATAAACCTATGGTTAGCGAGTTCTGTCACGCCAACCGAAGAACAGGACAGCCTCTCTCCAGCCTATTCAGTTGAAGGATACCATAAACGAGAGATTCATTTGAGCTCCTCGTAAACACCAATGCAATTTGCAAGTAAGCGTATTTCATCCGTTGCATTATACAGTTTGGTGTTCTAGCAGAACATAAGGTTGATGAAACCTCGAGGACCACGCCCACCTGATGAGCCCCAAGGAGGATGAAACGGGTAGTGAACTGACGTAGAGTTTTCAGAAACGCTAGCAGTAGCATGTTCTGTCAAGAAAGTACGTAAACGGATGGTTCTGTTTTGAAGGGCTTCAATGTAACTCGTTGAAATGACATCTCATCTTTTTTATTATCACATGGACTGCGGAACACTTTCCACCAAATTTATTATTCGTCATTTATTCCAATCAGTGCGAACGCTATCAAAGCGGTTTTGAACAAGAATGCAAGAAATACAGGTTAGCAGCTACTGCAGGACCACTTTCACTGGTTTCGAACTGGTATAAAGCTGAAGACGGGCCATGCTGTTTAAGTTGTACATGGGTCATAAACAGTTTTTAAGTATATTGCCATGGTTAGATATCCAGTTTAGGTAACAAAGTATAAAATAGTTTGCTTTCGTCAACCTACCCCCGCTACAGCCACCCTGAAGTGAAAGGCTCTGACCTGTTTTTAATGTTGCCCAACACACGCCGTGCCGTTTCCGCGTTTCTGTGGAACAGATATCGGCAGGATCGACTTCAACTGTCTCGTATTCTCTTCTGACGGCATAGTAATCTTATGGCAAATCAGCTTCAAAGAACACCAACGTATAAGTCTTCCCTCTCTAAAGGGTGAATAATAAAGGCTGTGTCGTCCTGTGCATCGTATGGACTTCACTTTTCTGAGGCTGTTTTGATCAGTATCTCTCTGATCGGATCTGGATTGGCGTTTGAACGATTGCTCAAACGGTCATGCGTAAGGGACATACAAAGTTGTTTTTTCTAGACTGAACGTTCGGTCGCCACTCATGATTCAAGAAGATTATAGCTAACGTTCAGAATGTTGCAAAAATAAACCCTGGGCTAAGTGTACGCAGCGGACTTTAGCGATGGCTGACATTCGAAGCAGCTGAGGCTCATGTTGAAACGGAGAGTTTGACCAAAGCATGGTAACAAACCTCGTAAGAAAGTAATATTTGAGACCCATTCATCCATTCATAGATTTCCTAATTTCCCCCCATGTATTGTTAACATTTTTTATTCCGCCAAGCTCCACTTCCTCCAGTATCAAAAATCAATCGTTCAGCTGTCGCACCCTTTCGGTGCCTAACTGTCATGCCACCCAAAGGTTGCACGAGGGCTGGGATACTGCCAGGTTGCCCAAGCCTAGACAGAGGAAGTCGAGGGTCAGAGATCGGGTTTGAACGACGGACCTTCCGGTCAGTAAATTCGCGCTCTAACTACTTGGGCCATCTCGCCCCCAGAATGGGTGATTGCATGCTCCATAGACAGCTCTTCGTGCATCTGAAACCTAATAGCTCCCACTTGATTTGCAATGTCCCTTACTGACGAACCATCATTCGAATGGCTTGTCATCCGAACAGGACAGATCTCTTCCTTATTTTACTCCTCATAGCACTGTTGTTTTGTGACTTGTTAAGTTTTTTCTCCCCGTTTCTCGCTACCTCAACAGATGATGACTTATCGACTTGTTTTGGTGCGCTGTAGATAGTTAAATAAACATGCCTTTAAAACTGCGGGCATGTGTTTTAAGCCCGTAGTATCAAGCAGACATCTCCGTTTACACAGCCAATTTTAGAGAGACCTCGGGAACAAAATTCTGGCGTGATGCCCGTGCGGGAAAACAAACACCGATGTCCCATTTCGATTTTGCTGACGACTGGTTACTGAAATAAACCTGACGATACCCTGACAAAGCGTATCGATTCCGCACGTGATTTGTGTTTACCCGGTAGTCCGTCCTCATGATTGGTTGTCCAACTACAGCGAGGATACTACGTAAAAAGAACCTTTAATTCAGCAATGTGGTGTCTCTTTGAGAACATTTTTCCAGCCCCATAGAATTGGTTTTAACGTCCCCCGAAAGTTCAGCGAGACGTACCTAACACCTAGACAATGGTACAATTAATGAATGTTCCTCAGTTAAAGGTATCTCCCGTTAACGAGTTCTATTCTATTTAATACTCATTTCTTCATTTCCGTGTCAAAGGTGACTGCATGTTTTCGCACTTGATGCGCAGCCTCTATGCCTCCAGCGCTGCCGATGATTCGCAGATACGTGTTCACTTCCCTTGTTAGCTAATACTGGTTGCCAGGATCCATCTTTACACGTTCGCGTGCAAGTTGAAAAAATCATATGCTCACGGACGTTCTGGTGCCCACCTATTGTCCGTCTTCGGTCCGCTCATCCCACCATTAGAGAACTTGCCGGGCTAATCCGTTCATCGGTGTTTGTCGCTCTTATTGTCTGGATTACAACTTAAGCCTTCTAACAACTTTCAGGACAAGCAGCCAGCTCGGTCGCAACAGAATAAATCATTCGCCGCAGTGATAGAATACTGTCGTATTAAATATCAGGACTCCATAGATGATGGGTTTTCACTGGGATGCTGTTTTACTTTCAGATTTGTAGCCCTAAGATAGGCCACCAGTTTTGTCGATACGTATACACAAGGTCTGTCCGGGTGGGTGAACCGATCTAAATTTCTAAACGATTGCGCTGCTTTCTATCAGAATGCTACTTTCATTGTCCTGGTATGAACTATTTGAGGGCCATCAGTGTTCGAAAATACCACCAACTGCTTCACGATTTCACCATCAACCTGATGCTCTTGTGCGACCTCTGCCTCTCAAATTATCCTGTCTAGGCTTGCGCAACCTGGCAGTATCTCAGCCCTCATGCTTTCTTTGGGTGGCATGGCAATTAAGCACCGAACGGGTGCTACAACTGAACGATTGAACGATTCATGTTTCGACTGTGTTACAAGATACCCGAATCGCGTGCGTCGGACGCAGCTCCGCATCTAAATGGTTGTGCCTACAAGTAGGTTGAAAGTACGATTCAACCACGAAGTCTGAGGTGACTGCTGCATAGCTTGAATTGGTCCTGAGCAGAACTATTTGGACTCTGCAGGAGGACGGCAACTGAGGTGGAGTAAATACCGGGAGCAAAATTGTGTCGGATAAATAAACTGATACCGATCCATAGGGAAAGAATTTCAAGTCACAAAATTTTCAGTGTGCGTCCCCGCCTTAGGACAACCGACGATCGGGTGATTCGGTCCAATCAGAATTCGTAACGGCTTTTCGTGGGCAACAGCATGTTCAATAATGCCGTTCGTAGCCGTGGAGAAAGTAGACGTACACATCATCATCAGCTGTAAAAACCACGTACTTGCTTTATTGTGGTTTTAGGTGCCATGGTTTTGGACAGTATCTCAGGACGGCATCGCATTGGAGGCGGTGGCTGATATAATTGATGCGTAGATACAGGGTTGTCAGTGGACATTTTAGTGGGGGGATTGCGAGGGATGTTCCGGTCCGGTGTTCCCACCGGACTTGGGCAATGCTCTGAGGACATCGACGGTCAAAAACTGAAAGTATTTTGATGTCCTCAGCGTGCAGTGGCCAGATTTCTGATCTGTATAGCAACATCTGTATAGCAGCACTGTAAACTCGACACTTGACGGATAGGCTGATGTCATCTCCACGCTATAAGCGATGCAGGTTCACGGAAGCCGCTCTGACCTTTTCGATCCGGATGGGAATATCATTTTTCGCCGGACCACCGGGACCGATGCAGCTGCACAAGTAAACGAAATCGTCTACTAACTCAATAAGCTCATCCACAAGCTCGAGGTTAGGGTTTGAGCCCACCCAGTCTTGCAGTAGCACTTTACAGGTGTGAAGCGCTTTGATCTCACATGCATTAGAGGCTCATAGTGAGTCTTCCGTAATCGTATCAATGACGAATTTGAAGAGGCACCACTTAACGCAGTGAACTCTAACAAGAGTTTTCCGTAGACCTTCACACGTCAGCGGGAGTTGGCGTGCATCGCCTTGAGAATTTATGGGGGACACCTTTGCTCCACAGACACCGCCATAGTGTCTGACGGTTCACACAGTCAAAGGCAACTTCCAGATCAACCATTGTTGGTTGCTGGAAACAGTGTCGCTGTTTCAGAATTTGTCAGAGAATGAAAATGTGATCGATGCACCCTCTTGCGGGACGGAGCCTAGTTTGTTTTTCACGGATCTGTCTCCCCCTGTTTTCAGTCAGCCTTCGAAGGATAATAGTAGAGAGTACCTTCGATGCAACAGCTACCAGGCTGATGGTTCGGTAGTTTTGATACAGCGTCCGCATACCTTTTTGAAGATAGGAATAACTGTCAACATACCCCATTCTGCAAGCACTTTTTTCGTTCTATATCGCACCAATAAGCTGTGTTAGGTGAATCACCAGAGATTCTCCGCCCACTTTGAACAAAGCTGGATACAAACCGTCTAGTTCTGGTGCCCTTTCACACCCCAGTACTGATACTTGGTACTTTATTTCTTTTTCCAATGGGCGATTAAAGTTCACATTTCATTCGCATGTATGCACCCTCTCCAGAGGCTGTGTTGCAGGCCAGCTAAACTATTATTCGAAGTGTTCGGCCCATCATTCCAGTCAACGTTTTTGCGAATGAATTAATAAGCCATCTTTTTCACTTATCGTTTCGCTAGAGCCAGTCGATCGTATCAGTTGATATAGGGCACTGCTGTTTCCAGTAACAAAAGCTTTCTCCATCTCCCGAGCTTTCGATGTCCACCAGAGCTCTCGGTCTTTCCTTAGGCTCTTCAGTACTTGGCGTTTGAGGGATTTGCGTGTGCCGTTGTACTTGTTGCCTACTGGTACGGCTTTCCTGGCATCAATCATGGATAGCGACCTCGACGACATCCAGTGGTCTTATGGTCCAATTGGAGAAGTCAAACAGATAGCACTGAACGCCGCTAACGTATCTCCTTTCACATTTTGCTACGCTTCATCCACATGCTCACCGCCAGCGCAGTATTGGCTCACTGTGGAGAGCTGGCTCAGATCGGTACCACTGAGCTATGGTCGTTCTTCCAAGTTAGTGGATTGGCATGCTTCTTGTTAATTTACGAAGGCCCGAAGGGAGGTGAACTCTCAGGTGTGTACGCACCGTGACGTGATCGAAATCAAGTGGTGGGCCTCAGAAGGAAGGGCATTCTTGAATTGCGGTTCTCCACCACTGGCTGATGGCCACGTGGTCCAACTGGGTCCACGGTTGACTTGCAGTTGGTAGACGCCAGGTTACGCGATGTTGAGTGTTCGTACTTGCCAGAAACAGCTCATGGTCGGCATACAACTGAAGGAGTCGATCTCCGTTGTCTATGCGGCGAGCATCGACTCCGAATCGACTGCCCAAATGTGATTTCAAGGAGCTCAAGGATCATTCAAATCACCTGCAAGGATCACAATGTCAGTGCATTTTGTTCGACTAATGGGCCCGGATAGCTCTCGCTAGAAAGTATTCTTCTCAGCTTCAGAACTGCAGTCCGTTGGGGCATAAGCCAACACCACAAACAGGTACCGTTTCTTATGTTGGGGGGCATTGATTGAGCTAGATAAGCTGGCGCCACGAATAATCGCTTCTGGATCAGCGAACACACGGAGGGAGAAATGTGAAAGAACTGAGTCTCGTATGCGTGTTTCGGACACGCATAAATGTCCATAAATACGGACATGTCGGTTGCCTGGGAGAAACGCCCTACTGCCTTTACACTTCTATCGCAGAGGACAGTACGACTTTACCTCCAGACCACCTCACAGCACGATTACTCGCAGTAAGAGGTCTCAGGGCTCTTGGTCTGACTGGTCTCGTTTGGCCTCCCTGGCCTGGTTGCACCTTGTGGGACAACGTTTTAGCGGGTGTAACCCGCGGGGTCATTGCATCACTCAAGCCCGAACATCATGTCAAGATGGCAGCTTTAGGTCGGAGTAGATGTGCACCCTCAGCATTTGTTGAATCAGTGGCATTTTCAGGGGAAATCATCCGCGGATTTCAAATGCAGTCAACTGGTTGGCCTGATATTCACTTAACTATGCCGTTCACGCTAAGTTTATTTGCAACTGAGTGTATTTCACCAATTGCATGCTATTCTCTGTTCAGGTGGAGCATAAAGTTGATGAGAATTCCGGAACTACGCCTATCTGATGAGCCTCAGACAGAATACAACTGAAAGCGACCTATCCAGAAGTTTTCAGCAAACTGACGGGCACCGTGTTCCGTTAGGAAACTCAATCTGAGTTCATGTTGGCTGGTTTCGGAACCTGCTTTTTCTCGTTCAGTCAAAGAAACGTAGCACTCGTTTGTTTGATTTCGAGATAGCTCGCCAGTTAAGGCGCAAATTTACTGACCAGAATCTCCATTATTCAAATCCAGTCTTTGCATATCGACCGCTCCTGTCTAGGCTTGGGAAAGCTGAGAGTATCCCAACTCTCGTGTTTCTTTCGGGTGGTATGGTAGCTATGCACCAAAAGGTTGTTACAGCTGAACGATTATTATTTTATTTACTTGTTTGTGCTTCACTTCAAGTACCTCTTGGTCCTCTTTACTATTCATGTTAGTATTTTGTATAACTTTGGATATAAAAATAACTCATTAAATTGATGTTTTTCATCATAGATTGGGAGGTTTTCTTTGCCATTCTAACGTTAGAATTCCCGGTCTGATACTGACCTGCAGTTCGCGGAAAAATGGCTGAACAGGATATCTAAGTGTTCCCAATCTAGGAACAGTAACTTTTCCTGTCCAGTATGTCTAACCTACACTATACAGTTGAAATACCCTCAAAAGGTTCATTGCATTTCGGCAACCGATAACTTTTTCTTCTTTTCCTAAGTCATCTCATTAGGTGACCGGGCGACCCGAACCATCGAGGTTGAATTTCCTCTCCTCTCTGAATATCACACTTTCCCATTCATTTTCTATAAGGTGTGATCTTCCACCCACTTGACTCTACAGGGAAATCTTTCTCAATTTTAAATGATTTTTTGTTCTAGCCCTTGAGAATAGTGTGCTGCGAAATCTAACCACTTGAACGCAGTCAGATGTATATTTCTCTTTCTTCACGATATTCGATAAGGATCTGATGAGCACCAAGCCAGTGAGACTTAGAGACAGAATGTGGTTAGGTTTGATCGGAATACACCAAGTTGATGTAGCGGGATCGGTCGCATTTCGCTGTCGTTAACGGTTTTCACTGTTTACCGTAGCCCCACACCGCCACTGACCACATTTGCGTGCATGACGAATATGAATTTGAAGTTTCACTGCTACGCACAGGGTTCATAGAAACCCTGGACAGCCCACTACCGGTTTCACCCTTTGCAAAACTCGTCAAATAAGTCTAGTCCCCGAAACTCCGTCAACTCATTTCCCTATTGAACACCAGATTGTACGTATGTTGCAATAAACACTCGTTTGCAACGGGTGTTGACGGGGGATTCAGCTGAAATTCACGCAGAGAATATCATAAACAAGAGAGCTTTCTTGGAAGCACACACTTTAGAGTCAGCTCTGAACTCGATCTTTTTCGCTCCAAGTCTGGTCATACGGTCAAGATGACGGCTTTTTCTTGACGTTCGCTGGCCATAGTTGGTTTGCGCGACGACGTCCGACAATTAACTGTGTCAGACTACTTTTACCCTGACGTCTGCCTTACCATAACTGATCCACTTTTATTGCATTTGATCCTGCATACGATCTGGCCAGATTAGTCATTGAAAACGCGCGCTTACCTAGCGCTTCTCCTTCCGCCAGATGACACGCCAGAGCAGTGACGCGATTGAATGCGAATGCACGCGCCACGACCGTCACGAAGAGACTGGACCTTACCGTGGTGTGACGGTTTTCGCACCTCAGCTATCCATTGAGCTATACTGGAGAGTGTCCCGCGACACTCACAGAGTCTCTCACACCAGGTTGGTCAATGGTTAGAGGTCTGACGAACACAGTCTCCTG